AAATATGATCATCAAGAAAGATAGAGCACCTATCTCCCTGTCTGTGGGAGGATAAGAGCCAAACTTTAAGTGCCAATTAGCAAATACATGAATGAACCACATCCTAACACCCTCCAGTTCCTTTCTACTAGCTTATCTCAGCACTTGAAAACTCTCCCACCTGTGGACACCTGGAGTGGTGTTCAATCTCTCTCCCCTATTACAATAGTCTAGAATAAAATCTTTCTTGCCTGTTTAACTCCATCCAGTACAATTTTTTCAGACCAAAAATGACACCACTCAGAGCAGTAAACCCCCAGGGACTCAGAGAATGCTTTTCTCCCTGACTTGGGTCTCACTTTGTAACTTGCAGTAAAGCCAAAGCACTTTGACTTTTCCATATCTCATGGAGTCCTTCACGCAGAGTTCCTCTACCTTCTGGCTGCTACTATACAGACTCAGGTAAGGACAGTATGACGGGCAAACACCATGCTACTCTCTGCATCTCAATTCCTTGGTCAGGTGCCCAAGCATAACAAACCACTTTTCTCCTAAGCACCCCTCCAATCTTTTTTAATCCAAATGAGCTCCTCATAGACCCACCCACCAGAGGGCAATCATGCCCACACGTGTTTGAATTCCAGTTTAGTCCAAAACTGAGATCCCTATCTCACTTAGATAAGTGAAATAGTATGATGGGGGTACTTAAAAATAGGACAAATCTGGAGAAAAAATGAGGTATTTTCATTTTTTTATTTACCCCTTTTGCATTGTTTGAAAGATCCAGTTAAAGCAACTGTCCATAGAGTATATTTAAACACTCATATACCTATACCACACACTGATTTTTCAATTTAACTTTAAATGCTAGCCCAGTTGGCATTTTTATTTTACTCAAAAAAAAAAAAAAAGAAAAAGGATTAGCAGCATGGGTGGAAACCGGAGGGAGTTGATTTCAACTCAGTTATCAGAAAGAGCTGTAACAATTAGAGAAATCCAACACTCTGATCGACTGCTGTAAGAAAACGGTTTGCCCATATTGGGATCTGGGTAGAGGCTGGAGATAGTATATTCAGGATATTATAGAGGGAATTCACACATAAGGTAGGACACTGGACTCATCCAAGGATGCTTCTAACTGAGATCATACTATGAGGTGATATTACTATTTGCAAAATATTATTCTTTGGGATTCCTTAATGAGATTTTCTTAATTTCTTTCATGTATATTAGTACCTCATTAAGCAAATAGAAAATATCCCCCAAACATAGAACCTTCCTCTCTGAAATTAACACCTAATAACAGAAAGTAATTTTTATCAACACATCAACTTCAGGGCAGGGAAGGCAAAAGCATTGAATGAGGCATTTAACTGGATATTATACAATTGTTATAATCTTTGCTCTTTGGAACCATGTGTGAATTGATTTAGTTATTCCTCTCAACGATCACCACGCAATTAGGCATTGTTTACTCACAGCTGAATGATCTGAACACTACAGAGATAGGTAAATTGTTCTTTTCTCTTTTTCTACAAGTATTTCATTAGAACACTTCTTAGAACCCTTGCCCAACATAAAACTACCACAGGAGACAGAATTCCTACTCTCAAACAGCCAGTGCTATAGGAGAGAGGGAGAGAGCTCCAGACAGACATCAGATGGTTCTCTTTCAGTTGATCGCCCCAAGCTCCAGGCTGGTGAGTGAGAAGCTGGGCTCAACCAATGCTGGAAATCAAGCCAATTGGCCTGACGTCTTGGGCATTGGCCCAGCTGTATTTCTGGAGGTCATCCAATCTTGCTGGTGTGGAAAGCCATATAGTATTGACAACAGGAAGAGACGACAGACTTTAGGACACTCTAGTCTCAGCTATGGGATGTTCTAGGCTTGTGGGTAAGTTACCTAACCTTTTCAAATCTTAAGATCTCATACACAGCTGCAAAATGTGAAAAATACCACATACTCTGATTATGATAAGGTATTGTTGTAAAAAGTAAAAGATAAAAATGCCACATATGTATTATTTAAAAGTGGTTATTATTTTTCAAAAAAAAAATGAAGGAAAGACAGAGCCACTCCCATGCTAATCAGGAAGACCCCAGACTGTATGATTTCCACAGAAAGAAAAGGTGACAGGCTGAGGCAGCATTTCCCTAACAGGCTCTAGCAAGGTAGAGTACAATTTATGAAAGTCTAATTTCTTATCCTTCACCAATAATGTCAACTACTAACCAAGACTCTAGATACAGAATCCAAAGAATTTTGCTTGTACTGAACACAAAATGTTTCCTCCCTTATTCACAGCTTGCTATATATTTAAAGATTTTGAATATATGCTTAACACGAAACTCATACCCCAAAAGAGGTCTTTTTTTGTTAGTAGGAGCATTTTTAATAATTTCTAAAAAAATATTTATTTTAAAGCTTTTAGCTCTAATGGGTTAGAATGCTAAGAGTAATAGTGAGTTCTCTTCGCTACACTGCTTCATTCTGCTCTAACTGCTGTTATTTACCCCTCTGATTATGTTACCAAAAAGAGTAAAAGCCTGTTATATAAGAAAAACCATTTAAAGAATTTATCGGTATCGCATGAACTGTTCTGCTCATCAAAACAAATGGAGAGCAGAGCTGTCTGTGATTGTTGGAATCCAGCACTCTTGGAATTGCATCAAGAAGAATATAAACACGCAGACTCCCCGTCCACTAAAAGCCCATATGTACCCCTGGCTCAAACGAGGTTCTCAGGCTTTGCAATAACTTGCAATTACTAATCAGAATCACAGTATTCTAGTTCCAGTTAAAAATAAAACAGCACCTGACTACCCTTTTCTGCAATGATCATGCTATTTTTTCTGAGGGTGGGGAAAAATACTTTAATAGCAAGAATGAAAAGATTAATCATTTTTTATTTCAAAATGTAGCTCTAAAAGAGAACAATTCTGTTTCTTTTTTTATTCCCTAGTCTCTGTCTTCCTTTTACTTTTACCAACAATATTTTAGGTAAACTTCTCTTTAACAAATTTTACTTTGAAAGACTCCGAGTTTAAATTCTGTTGGCGTTCCCTGCTGCTCTAGTCAGAGCACAGAGAATTATGGCCAAAGCGTATCTTTGAAGTCAGTGTGCTGGCGTAGACACTGGCCAGTTTTCGTACAAAGGTGCTTTATGAATCATGAATCAAGTGAACAGCATAATAAAAGCACACACCCCTAGAAGTATCCACCTAATGCATTTTGAGGGAAGAAAAAATATCTAATCTCTCACTTCTGAAACTATGGAAGTCAAATAAAAAAGGTTTATATTTATCCAAATCTACACATTCTTTTTTCCCTTCTTTTTTTAGGAGGCATTACTTATTTACAATGTGTTCTCCCAGGATAGCCTGTGAAAGGCAACATCTTGTTTGCCCAACACTCTTAAAAGAAATGGTGAACACATGAACATCCATTACTGCAAGTCCCCACAATAGAAGAGTAACCCCTTTGATATCAACATAAATCAAACAAAGGTAATGGGAAGCGCACACGCAGACCCAAAGTTTAAAAGCAATGGTGAAGGTCATTCCCAAAAGTTGTCCGAGAATATTTCTAAGTCCTCTTATAGTGAGAATAGTTGGTGGAAGTCTCTTGAATTTACTGCAGTGTTAACCTCAGGAAAAGCTTTATTTGAATATACCTCTTGGGTTTTTTTCCCATTCCTTCTCCAAATTTTATCATCTCTAAAATTTTCTTAAAACTGAAATTCAAAATATAAAGAGTTTAAGAAAACACGTTAAATCACAGAAGAGATACTCTATAATAATTGTGAATAAATTATTAGCAGAGGGATGAATGGGAGGAAATTTTGCTCCTATGCAGTCATGCTCAAGAGTAAGAGCTAGGAGTTTTCCTTTCTACCCTGGCCTGCATCTCTAAGTACCATGAAACCCACCCTTTATTTCTGAGGCTACGAGCTTCTGACCATCGAAAAGGCCAGTGCCAAAGGAGGCACTTCAAATATGTCTTATAAAAGCTTTAGGCAGGTGTAAACAGAAGGCACTCCCTGGGCCCAAAAAGAACAATTAATTAGGATTCTTTGCACAGACTACTTGAAGGTCATGTCAATGGCACAATGATATTCACTCAGCTTTTCTCCATGTGGTACCCTCAGGGAGGACTTAACGTCTCAGGTCTCACTCATATCCTCCTAATTTATTTCCCATCTAACTCTTCATTCCTCCACCCTCAACCTGATGTAATTCTTCCCTTGGGGAAACTCCACTTAACAAAAGTACATTTCCCAGACTCCTTTGCAACTAAGTGTAGCAGAGCCAGCTTTCACCCATAATACCTTAGCCTACTTCTGGGAGTGTTTTGCTTTCCTTTTCCTCCTCATTGCTTGCCTCCTCTTCTCCTTCTGTCTACCTAGGACACAGACGTGGGGCTAGAGCAGCCATATTGTGACCATGAAATCACCATGTATATAAGAGCCAAATAAAGATAACTGGATAACAGAGCAGAAAGATAATGCCCTGGGTATTGATATCACGGAACTGCTGTGCCAGTCTGGAATGGCTTTATCAGGACTTCTTTTTAAATAAACCCATGCTTGGTTAAGGCACCTTTGGCTGGCTTCTGCTACGTGCAACCAAACACAATTCTTAACTGCTACACCAGTTATTGCGTATCTAGTGTCCCAGAGGGTGGGCTAGTTGGACCCTTCTCTGCTCTCTTCCCAATTTGTTGTTCTTGTCCTAAGGTCTGTGCCTGCTTCTTTCAGAGTCTTCCCTTTTGATTTTCAAGAGACTGTTTTTCCTTCAATCAAACTCAGTTCTTGTAAAGCAAAATCTTTAGCTTTTAAAAATATTGATTTTGATGTTAGTTTCAAAAGCCTGTTTTAGAAGTCAAAAACTGAACAGCCATTGATTCTTTCTCTTTGCATTTCTATTATAACAATCTTAACTCTGCTCAAGGCAATATGGAATTCTCTGACTGCCGGGGGAATGATCATGCACTGGGAATTGCAGACAAGAAAATGTTTAAGATAAAGTAATAGAAAAAAGAAAACAGGCTTGCAAATTTGTTCTGAGCCCTTCAAGTTATTCTTAGTACAATCAATAAGGTAAGTTTTCTTATGATCCTGTAATTCAGGTTTGCGTCCTTTCAAGCTCCCTGTCCATCCTATCCAACATCCAGAGATACAATGCCTAAGCTTATTCCTGGATCTCAATGTACATGTACTCTTCTAATGAATGAATATTCAATGAAAACTATTTGGTGATAGATACCAAGTCGATGGGATACCAAACCTTCCAGACTTCTGGAAAACAATATTAGGTTATCCCCTGTAAACCCTAGAAAGGCATGCTGAGCTGTGGAATGTTAGTGGTCCAGAGTTTTGACCAAGGTATAGAACATAGTGGAAAATACAGAACCTTGGTTCTCTAGAGAATTCAAGAGAGCTCGATAAATTCTCACAAAACCAGGTCTGTAGACAGTGTTTAATTCTACTGCTATCAGAGTGATAGCCCTTTAGAGACAAAAGAATAGAAAGGAAGGAGATCTCAAAAGCTGAATCAACACCTTAGAGGATAAGGCGACAGACCTGGGACATCAAGCTCTCTAGGATGCCAGCCCAAAGCTATTGATTTGCAAATCACAAGAAATATGGGGGACCACCAGGAAAGGTAGCAGACTAAAAACTGAATACTAAGGAAACCTTCCTAATCAATGGCTTTCAGGAATGACACAACCTCAACATCCATCTCCTCAAAATGAGAAAGAGAGACACCAACTCTTGATATCTATATTTCTCTTGAAAATCAGTAATTTTCCATGACATGCTTTGTGGAGAGTAAGATAATAACCTAACAGATCATCTAATATCAATGAAGTTTCAGATACTTCGAGCAAAAGCTCTAATGTCAATCTTACAGCCTTCTGATTCCTAGAAAGAAGTAAGCATAAAAATTTATGGGAAACAAAATACCAGCATTTAATCTCCAAATGTCTGTGAACTTGGAAAATTACAATGGCACATCGCTATACTGTTCATCTTTCTATAAATGTATTGCCTTGGATTGTGTTCTATAGCTCTCTCTATAAAAGAAAATCTTATTTCCTCTCAAGGGGAAAGACTGTAGCTTTACTTCCCCTGTACGCCAAACACATTGCTAAGGACCTACTGGACTCTTATTAATGAATTTTGTGGTCATTTACAAGATGCTCAATATCGTGTTTGAATAGAAAAATTTCCTTGTTAAAAAAGCCACAATTAATCTGTGAAATAAATGACTTGGGTCATTTTTATTATGAGACTCCCAACCTCCTTTTAGCTTTTCAAAGGCATTTCCTGCCTCTGATTATTACAATTCCTTTTTTTTTTTTTTTGGTGAGGAAGATCAGCCCTGAGCTAACATCCATGCTAATCCCCTTCTTTTTGCTGAGGAAGACCAGCTCTGAGCTAACATCTATTGCCAATCCTCCTCCTTTTTTCTCCCCCAAAGCCCCAGTAGATAGTTGTATGTCAGAGTTGCACATCCTTCTAGTTGCTGTATGTGGACACTGCCTCAGCATGGCCAGAGAAGCGGTGCGTTGGTGCGCGCCAGGGATCCGAACCTGGGCCGCCAGTAGCAGAGCGCGCGCGCTTAACCACTAAGCCACGGGCCGGCCCAATTCCTTTTTATAGTAATTCTACCTATTTTCAGTGGTTCGTGCCCTCTATTTTCTAGGAAAAAGAAAAAGGAAATATAACATGCTTGTCCTACTTCCCTCAACACTCCAGGCCTCTGCCTCCTCCCTCACTCTCTTGAAGAGCGGGCTTCAAACTGAGCTCCACCGCTGTTTCCCGTCACTCTTGGCTCCCTCATGATGTTGGTGTGTGGTAGTGTCTGTATGTGCCGACTCCATCACCTTTTCCAGCCTACTGCCAATAAACTATTTAAGGAGAGAAAAATGAAATCTGTGGGTCTTGTTCAAGTGTTTCAGGAAACTTCTGACATACTCCTTACTATTCTTCCACTTCCTCTTATCTTCTAAACCCGTGTCCTCAGCAAGACTTTGATTTACTGTGAATACCAGACCCCCTAGCCTGTGATCATAAGATGAGGTTACAATACACCAAGCCCTACCCACTCCCACAGGAGCTCAGCTACTCTCAAGCATCTACCAATTTCTTCTAAGGATTCCAGGTGCACTGTCGCACGTCTGAAGCAGCTCTCTCATGCCCTTTTTCCTTGGCCTTCTTGTTAAGCTTCGTTGCCCCTGGCTCTGCTGTTAATGGTCTCCAGTGACTCCTAACGGCCTCCAATGGCCTCCAGTGGCAGCTACTTCCACCTCAAGGTAAAGACGCAGTTTTCCATTCTATCCCAAGTAATGAACAGCCTTCTCCTAATTTCCTACAACTTAGTAAAAAAACAGGCTGAAACTTATTTAAAAAAATTACCCTCATTCAAAGCAACTTCTGAGACTGACATTAGCTTTTCTCCTGACAGCAACATTCTTGGGGGAAAGGAAAGAAAGAAGGATTGGACAGAAAGAGAAATTTGGATGCAATGTAGTCTCAGGGAAGAACTCTCTCAACGCGCTAGGGTGTTCTGGAGCTGGGATGACCCCTCAGAGTTGTCCAGAGTTAGAGTAAGGGGGCCGAACCTTTACAGAAACTCATCAACCAGTCACTGGATACATGTTTCCCTGGAAGGAGGCATGACCTTGGGCTACATGATTCTCTTCAACTGAGACAATCGCAAAAGGAGCTGACAGCTGAGAGTCGTCTGTCAGCAGCATATCCTGTAGTTGGGGGAATAAGTTCCTCATTCCTGAAGAAGATTCTAGGCAGTAAATCACAAGTTCTACTCAAACATCTGAGTTTTAGATAGGAAATGTCATATTTTTTTTCTTTCTCAGTATGATGCTGTGATCACTTCTTCTTCCCATATTAGGTAATTTTATCTTTCTTTTCCTGTAAGTCCCACCTATCCTCTAAGTCTAGCTCTAATCCTGCAAATGCCTCAACTAGTACAGCACTACAACTGTACCCCAGTTGCTTCCTGAGCATGTAATAATTGTCACAAAATATACTAAACAAAAACTCTATGCATATTTTAAAGACTCTCAGACTCATAGTCACTTTGTAGAGCTCTTAGAACAAAATATACACTACAGAGATTTCTCATAGCACTTTTCCAAATTCTTGTCCAAGTTGTCATTAGCAACAACCATGTGGCAGCTTTTAACTACCAGTAGATACAAGTGTTCCATATTGGAAACTAAAGGTCATTAATGTCTTAGAAAGTTGTTAAGAGGACTGAATGAAATTGAAATATCTTGAAGAACATAATGTATACTAAAATATGTTATCCTAGGGCCGGTCCCATGGCTTAGCGGTTAAGTGCACGCGCTCTGCTGCTGGCGGCCCGGGTTCGGATCCCGGGCGCGCACCAACGCACTGCTTCTCCGGTCATGCTGAGGCCGCGTCACACATACAGCAACTAGAAGGATGTGCAACTATGACATACAACTATCTACTGTGGCTTTGGGGGAAAAATAAAAAAAATAATAAAAAAAAAAGAATGGTACATAGCATATTAAAAAAAAAAATGTTATCCTAATAGTGTTGTCTAACACAATGCCAGAAAATCAATAAATACTAATTTTAGAACTTACTTATCTAAAAGTTCCTCAAAGTTTAGCCACTATTTATTGATTTTCCTAGATCTAGCAATATCTATGATCGTATCTTGTTTCTATAATTTTTATAAAGATCATGTATTTCCTAAGGAATATCTTAAAACACAATTTTATCCATATTTCTCATTATGTTTTTAGTATAATGGAACCCCATATACACTGGGTGTCACAATATCTTTATGACTATGATGTGTTATGTGTCTTTCCTTTCTGTTAAACATCACTTAAACATGCTAGCAACTTCTAATACATGACTATTCATTATCCAGTTTCAGGGATTTGGTAAAATATAAAAGAAATATACTATATTAAACATTTTTAAATGGATAATTGCCCCACAACATATTTTTATAAACTTTTTTATTGAAGTACAACATGGTATAGTACACAAATGTTAAATGCAATCACTACCCAGATCAAGATCTAGAATATAATTGACAGGATTAAAATTAGAAATAGACAAATCCACAATCATATTTAATCCTGTCAATTTTTATATATATTTGAAGCTATGTTATTAAGTGTATACAGGTTTAGGATTGTTTTGGTTTCTTGTTTAATTGACACTTTTGCATTGTGAAATATCTGTTTTATGTCTTTCAATATTTCTTGTAGTAGAGTCTTCTTTGCCTGATATTACTATAGCCACATTGAATTTCTTTGTGTTATTATTTATATGGTATATCTTCTTTCATCCTTTTATTTTCAATCTATGTTTATATTTGAAATGGATCTCTTTAGAGAGCATATATTTAGATTTTGTTTTTTTAATCCATTTGTCTTTTAAATGGTACTTAATCTATTTATATGTAATAACTAATGTAGTTGCATTTAACATCTCAATAATTGTTTCTCTTTACTCCATCTGATCTTTGTTCCTTTTTTCATCTTTTCCTGCCTTTTTTTTTAAAGAATTTATCAAATTTTTATTTACTTCCTTGTATTTCTTCTTTTGCTTGTTTGTTTACATTTTTTATTACTTTTTAGAAGTTACCCCAGAGATTACAATATTCATCTTTGCCTTTGTACAATTCTTCTAACATTAGTATTTTATCACTTCCAAACAATGCAATAACCTTACAACAATTTAACTCTATTTACATGCCTCTTAACATTTATGCCATTATAGTCATATATTTTACATTTATGTATATTATAAACCACAAAGATATTATTATTGTTGTTTTAAACATCAATATTCTTTACTATTTACTCATATATTTACACTTTCCATTGCCCTTTATTTCTTCCTATAATTTTATGCATCCATCTGGAATTACTTTCCTTTAGTATAAAGAATTTCCTTTAGCATGTCTGTCTACTTCTACTATTGACAAATACTCTCAGATTTTATCTGAGAACTTCATTTCATCTTCATTTTTTAAATAATTTTTTTATTTTTGAATGATTTTAGATTTACATAAAAGTTGCAAAGATGGTACTGAGAGTTTCCTTACAGCCTATACCAAGATCCCCCTAACGTTAGCATTTGACATAACCACGCACACTTCAAAACTAAAATACTAACACTACCATTAACTAAGCTACAGACTTCATTCATATTCCACTGTATTTTCCACTCGTGTCCTTTTTCTATCCTAGGATACAATCTGAGATAATGCATAGCATCTAGCACCTTCATTTTTCAAGGATATTTTTACTGTGTATAAAATTCCATGTTGGTCATTACTTTCCTTTCAGTTCTTTAAAGATATCATTCTACAGTTTTATGGATTCCACAGTTTCTACTAATAAGTTAGTCATTAGCCTTATTGCTACTACTTTACAGATAATGTGGGTTTATTTTGCCTCTGGCTGATTTTAAGCTTTTTTTTATACCTTGGTTTTCAGCTGTTTAATATCATGTGCCTACATATAGATTTCTTTGTACTTATCTTGATTGGAGTTCACTGAGTCTCTTGTACCTGCGGGTGGTTATCTTCCTTCAATTTTGGAAAATTTCCAGATGTTATCTCTACAAATATTGCTTCTGCTCAATTCTCTCTCAACTCTCCCTCTGGAACTTTAAGCATACGTTATGTTAGAACTTTTCTTGTGTCTTGTGTCCCTTGTGCTTTGATTTATTCTTTTCATTATTTTTTCTCTCTTTATTTTAGTTTCTATTGACTTGTCGTCAAGTTCACTAACACTGTCTCCCACTGTATCCAGTTTTGTGTTAAGCCACCTAAAGTATTCTTAATTTCAGATATTGTATTTTTACTTCTAAAGGTCAGTTTTATTCTCTTTTATAACTTCTATTCCTGTGTTAAAATTCACAGTCTTTTCATTCATTTTTCTTTATCTTTTCTTGTCTTGTTAAAACATATTTAAAATATTTATTTTAAAGTCTTTGTTAGCTGTGTTCAATACCTGGATTATCTGGGGGTCTGTTTTTATTGCCTATTTTTGCTCTTGCTTATAGGTCATACTATCCTATCTTTTCATATTCTCAAAATTTTTATTGTATACTTAACATTGTGCAAAAAATAATTGTAGCACCTGCTGATAACATTATTTTTCCCCAAAGAAAGGTTATTCTTTTCCCCTCTTAACAAATAAATTGAAAAGTTGATTACTTAAATCCAATCAGGGATTTGACTGAGTCAGGTCTAGGTTGTAGTTTTAGTAAAATGTAGTCCACCATTACTCCAAAAATGTTCCTTGGGCATGAGCATTCTGGACTTTTGCTTTAGACTCTAGAAGACCTTTGTCTCTTTAGTCCAGAAAAACTATGGGAGATTCTATTCTGTCCTTTACAGATTTTGAGCTTAGCTCTATATTTTCCAGTTCCACACTATTTCAAATATACATCAAATATAGTGATGTGCCAAATATTTTGATGTGGAGACTGACCATGTCAAGCCTCTTCTCTCAGCAGGACCTTGCCTCTAAGCATCAGAAAACAGCAAGAAATTTTACCTGTCTTTTGAAAGTCTTGACCTAGTCTCTAAGCTTTGTCTCATGGGAAAAAAGAACTGTACTTTTGAGTCCTGTGTGGATTTAATCAATCATACTATCTTATACAATTGTCAAAAGAACTAAACTCAAAAAAATAACCAAACTCGAAAAAAAGAGAGTAGAAAGGTGGTTACCAGGGACTGAGGATGGGGAAATAGGAGATATGTTGTTTAGGGATACATATCTGCAACTAGTACATAAATAAGTCCCGAATATCTAACGCACAATACAGTGATTACAGTCATGTGTCGCTTAATGATTGGGATGTGATCTGAGAAATGCATCATTAGGCAATTTTGTCGTTGTGCAAACATTGATGCACTTACCCAAATCTAGATGGCATAGCCTCCTACACATCTAGGCTATATGGTAGTAATCTTATGGGACCACCATCATATATATGATCCATTGTTGACTGAAACTTTGTTATGCGGTGCATGACTATATACACAACAAAACTGTATTATAAATATTAAGCTTGCTAAGAGACTAGATCTTAATTGTTCCCACTGCTAGAAGAAATGATAATTATGTGGCATGACAGAGGTGTTTAGCTAATGCTACAATGGCAATCTTATTGCAATACAAATGCATCAGATCAAAATGTTGTACACATTAAACTTATGCAATATTATATGTCAATTATATCTCAATTAAAAAAAATTCTCCAGTTTTTCTCTCAGTAGGATCCTTCTGTTTAGACTAAGGAAAATCTTCTTCCTGGACTGAGTAGGCAAATGTTCCCAGAGAAGAAAATGGCTGATGATCATAAACTCTTCTAGGAAAAGCTCTTCCCTCTCTGGAATTTTATTTCATCTATTCTTCTTACTGATATAGCAATCCAATATCTTTAAAACATAATGTTTTGCAACTTATCTAATTTTTTAAATGTATTACAGTGGAATTTTTGCCTTCCCATGATCTATTACATCATACTTGTAAGCAGAATGTCAATCCCATTACATTTAAACAAACAAACATATGCT